AGGATGCTGATGGAACTGCGGAAATAGTGGAGAAAATTTTGGTGGGTAAGGAGGATCGACAGGACTTAAAGACTTTGGAATCGGCTTTTAAAATTAGCGATGAAGATGGTAATATGCAGCTAAGATTTTGGTTCCATGGCGATGATGATGAAGATGGGGAAAGTGATGTCGACAGCGACGTAGACAACGACGGTGCTATTATCCCCAAAGATGGTGATGGTGATGATGCTGATGATGACGACTACGAAAGCTATGAAGGCGAACGCGGTCGATTTGGCCTTGAGAACAGGCGCAAATTTGACAGAAGAAGACGTTATCAACATGAGGAGGAGGAAGAAATTGGTGAACAAAATAAAGTTTACCGATGCATAAGGTATGGATGCTTCGGTAGATATGGATATGGAGCCTATGATGACGATGAGGAATATGCTAACGACCCCTGGGAAAACTACTACAGAAAGCATGGTCACGGCAGAGGAGGCCACTACGGTTGGGGAAGAGATCTCTTTTCCAGCGGTGATGAGGAGGAAATCGACGAAATTTAACTCGTTTTTTGCTTAAAGAAATGAGTAAAAAAAGTGGAACAGAGTGATTGTTTTTCATTTTTACTTCCTTTTTTTGTTTAAAGAATAGAGTTATGCCCCATAATCCAGTTACTCATTCTTTATTTTTATTTCCTGATTATTGGGTGGTTAGTTATTGCCTCAAATTTATGACTTTTTTAGGCGGGATTACACTTTAAAACCCAACTACTAGAGAAGGAGGATGAGATTTTTATTTTTTGAGGTAACAGAGCCACAGTGCCCCAAGGTAAAGGTTAGTTCGGGGCAGAGACATTGCTCTTCACCAGTTCCTCACGGTGTTCTTTTAAACCATGTCTGTTTAAAACTCATCACCTCTTCCGAATATTTAAAAGTAAAATACTACCCGGCCTAGACTAGGTCGGGGTAAAAAAAGTGCAATTTGACGCTTATTTGACATTATAATGGTCTCAGATAACGCCAATACAAAAACTTTCTTCGAAAAAGTAGAAAAGAGAGCAGGTCTCTACAATTTTGTCCTATTTAGTAAAGTGGCGCAGTATAATGCCTACTTATAAAATATAAGTAGTAAAATTGTCTAATTATGGGAGTTCGGGAGGTATGATACGGGATTTATTTTAGAACACAAATCGGTGTATATTCATTAAATTTGTCAACTGTTATCAATTTTTTACCGATTTCTAGAACATTAGTAGTTCAGTGTCTCAGAATCTTTGTTTCACTACATTAAATTCAGCTTTATCCTAGACAACCGCTCTTCATAGGTATCAAAAAAACGAAGTTTTTCTCTAACTTAAATTCAAAACTCTTGAAAAAATCTGCTTAGCATAGGCTGGTGTTTTTATTGTGGCCTCCCAATGGGCATTCGAACGTTTGTGTTTTTGATTCAAAAGTAGGGCTGCGCTTTAGCGTTTAAGTAAACTCAAAATGGACTACAAACACACTCAAAGCACAAAAAACTCTAACCTTTCTATTTTTTTGATTAAGCTTGCCCAAAAAATTTAACATTATTGTAAAAACGTAATTCAGCAATCATGAATAAATTATTGTTTTTACTACCTGCCTACTGAGTTAATTTCAGTAAGTATTATTTTATCCTATTAGGCAAAAAATTGAACATGGCGTTAGCTCTAGGAGTCGTGTAAACTGCTTTTCCTCCAAAAAAGGGGCATTTTATTTGAATTTTTTGGTTAAAATATATGTGTTTAAATACGTTTGATCTTTAGTCGCCACGGTTTGACGGTATTACCCTCAATCCACACTCTTTCTGCCTTTAGTCAAGCAGTCGTTCCCTACATATGTGGCAATCCTTTGCACATCTTCATGCATTACGTGCTTACACCATTCCTGAGCGACGTAGAGAGTAATGTGTTTGTCGGCTCATCACTTTAAAGCCTCGCTAATTTCAGTGTTGACTAAACTGCGCACTTCACAGAAGCTGAGGTAAAAATGAGCTCTTTGGTTATTGCGCAGAAAGTGGTCACAGAGCAAAGGTCTTTGCAAAGAACTTTTGGTGAATTATTAAAGTAGGATTGAAAGAGTAAGGTTTACGCTAGACTTCGAGTTGTTTCCATTGGCAAAGCAGTTAGCAATTAATAAAAAGTCTAACTGAAAAAAAAACCATAGCAAATTCGTCTGCATACATTCGCCCTCGCCCTCTCTCTCTCTCT